GCACGCAATCGCCTTTGTCGACCATGCGCTGACCAGTACCCGGGAAAGAAGCACCAGCTCTTCAGAAAAGCCTCTTGGCTATTTAAGGTTTATCGATCCCCAAGAAGGCGAAGATACCGGCGAGGACGACACTCTTCGCACAACTGTCGAGTTCCTTCTCTCCATCCTAGAAGGTGAGTCTATCCATTTCAGGGAGTCCATCACTCACCAAGGGACCTCTAGCCAATCCAAACTATGTACCACCGGCGAACGACCCACGCGTCTCGAGAATCTCGGACGCGTTAAAAGCGCTAAGCATGCATTCTTCCATGGCTCTCCGTCAAGGAGCACGAGAGGCCAGTCTCGTCCTAATGGCCCGTCAAACTGGTGCGAACCTATCCAATACCGAGCCAGTAGACATGGGAGTCAAGAGCAGTCGGGAAGTGTACCAAGAAGCGCTAGTACTTCTCCAAGATCCACTTTTACCCGTTCGAGCTCAAGGCCTCGCAATGCTTCGACACCTCGTTGAACCGCCTTTGCCAACCTCAAAGACCACGCCCATCGAAGGGGCACTGGTACCTGCGATCCTCGACATCTTTATCCACTCGGTCCAAAACGAAGACAGCTTTATATTCCTCAATGCGGTCCAAGGGCTCACGGCTATGGTGCAGCGGTTTGGTAGGGACGTGTTCAAGCGATTGTTGGACCTGTATGCTACAGACCCAAGGCAGTCCGCCGTGGGTCTCTCGAAGCAAGAGCTAGACGTTAAATTGCGCGTGGGAGAAGCATTAGGTGTTGTGATCGGCAAATGTGGAGAGTCTCTGAGTGGCTACAGTACGTCCCACGTTTTTCCCATTCTCCTTTTGGACAAAAGGCTCATGAAAGGGTTCTCGTTGATCTATTGTAGTCGACTTGACCGTGCCAGTGATATTGGCTATCATCCGTGACCACCATTTACCGATTCCATTACGCACCTCGGCGATCTCCTTGGCCTCGCGGTGTGTGGATGTAGCGCCGTTAGCGATGGGCGTTTATACAGCCGAGTTGAGCGGGTCTATGTTGGACATTTTAGAATTGGAACATGTAGCTGTGGTTGAGCCCAAGTCCCGGTCCAGGCACAAGCCATCTCAACCTCAATATGGGAACCAACAGTGGGCGCGGGGAGACGGCGGGGCTATAGGAACCGAAAATGAACAACAATCGGCAGGCGCTGTTCATGGGCATCTCGATGGGGAAAAGAAGGTCGAGTCAGGTACAGACGGCGACCTCAATCGCTCATCTCGACAAGGAGTAGTAGGAGTAGTGGACGGAGATACAGGGGTGATTCCGCCAAAGAGGAGCAACAATCTATTGCCACCGTTCCAAGCTGGTGACCTGGCAACGGATGCGAATCCGACTGGAATCGATCCCAAACTGTCCCCACTACGCCGGTCGGCGGTTCACCTGTTGACAAGTCTCATTCGACAGCAGCAGCAGGCCTCGAGCAGCAGCAGCTATCACGATTTTCGGTCTGGTGGTGACTTTCCGGCGAAAAGGGCCGGGACGATCTTGCGCTACCTGGCGAGTGTGGATGCAGATTCGGTGGTGAATGCGATGGCAGGCGAGGCTGTTGAACTGATGGCTCACGTTGGCCGTGCTCGAATAGGTCTTTAGAGAGAGTCTGGCATTGTTATGTAGAATCCAGAGTAGTTGTACGGAGATGCTTGCTTTGTTCCCAAAAGGACTCGACAATGGGACGCGTGCAGGTCTGGCTGGCGCGGTGTGGGTAGACTGCCCGATATGGGCAACAATAGTCGATATGCAACCACCTGCCTCCGACTGAATCCCGCATTACTGGCCAAATAAAGCGAGTGAATGAGCAGACACGTGT